AGGTTCTTTACTCATTATACACACTAAATACCATCAATAGTAAACACATATACTATAGTGAAACATGTAACAGAGTTCTTTTACTCATTATCACACTAAATACCATCAATAGTAAACATGTATACTATAGTGAAACATGTAACAGAGGTTCTTTTACTCATTATCACACTAAATACCATCAATAGTAAACACATATACTATAGTGAAACATGTAACAGAGGTTCTTTTACTCATTATCACACTAAATACCATCAATAGTAAACACATATACTATAGTGAAACATGTAACAGAGGTTCTTTTACTCATTATCACACTAAATACCATCAATAGTAAACACATATACTATAGTGAAACATGTAACAGAGGTTCTTTTGCTCATTATCACACTAAATACCATCAATAGTAAACACATATACTATAGTGAAACATGTAACAGAGGTTCTTTTACTCATTATCACACTAAATACCCTCATTAGTAAACACATATACCATAGTGAAACATGTAACAGAGGTTTTTTTACTCATTATCACACTAAGTACCATCAATAGTAAACACGTATACTATAGTGAAACATGTAACAGAGGTTTTTATGCGATACACCGATGCCAATGTTGTTCCCCTTCCTTTTTTACACAACCCCAAGTCACAAACATCTATGACAGACATATCTAGTGGTTTAGCTAGTACATCATGAATTCCAATTTGTATTTCCAGCTTGTGGTTGGATGCTTTGTCTTGACAGAGCCATACCTAGCATCCAGTCCATATTTTATCGCACTCATCTGGTAGTATGTAGTGTTTTCTTGACTTTCTGGCTGTTTCACTTACTATTATAACCACTATAACAACCTGCTCTCTATTGTTTATAAAATGTTGTATCACAAGCAGAATGATACAAACTTTCCAAGTTTTTAAGTAAAACTGCACTTCATTCATAGAGCTTTTTATAGATGGTTTATCTGTTTGGCTATGGGAGAAGCTTGTGTACTCTTTTATTGGCTTAAATCTGTGTGAATTATCTAGCTTACAGTTCCAGAAGAGGTTCCTACTTTAGCTGCAATTTACCACCATATTATTGGGTTGCAACAAGCTGTTTAACTTACCTCTTGTGTATGACCGGAAGCAAGTCATGGAATACACTTTCTTTTTTAACTTTACTACAGTTATTTCACATCTTATATAATCACAGAATAGAATAATGTTTAACGTCCTGTAACGTAACCCTCCTAGAACAGGTCAGTTTTCACATGTATAAATCACCACAACAACAGAGCTAGGGCTCCATCCTGTACTCACAAGGTGACCGGGTACGTCACCATAGATCCTAGACAACTCTCTTTACTAGACACATTTTATGAATTACTGAATAGCTACTTGATGCACTTACCCCACACAGAGACATTGAAATGTCTGTCAACTGCTCCTGCTTGGTTGGCAGCTTCACAGAAATAAAACCCTGTATGATACAGTTGGCTACGGTAGATATGAAGTTGTTGTTTGTTCACATGAACATCATCACTACTACGAACAGGTTCGCCATCTTTAAACCAACTAATTTCTGGAGGTGGCACTCCTTTTGCTGGACAGACTAATCTTACTGGCCGGTTAATGATCACGGGTACGTGTGGATGAGAATCATCCGAGAAAAACGGGGGGACTGGAACATTCACACACACAAAAAAAACATGAAATAATCAGCTTGAGTTAAGACATAACTCTTGATGGGATTGTGGCTAACTTACTAAAATATCTTATATAAAATATCAAAGCATTCAGTAACTGTGATAGATAAATAAAACTTATTAAAATTCCAGGTCTAAAAATAACTGATATTAGACAATGTTAAACAAATTTTGAGTTCGTCCAATCAAATTGCGTTTCATCGGGCATAATGTCCATTCAAACCAATTACCTGACTGATCAAGAAATACTGAAAGATTTCTTACCAAAGCTATTCTTAAGGAAGCATCTGAGTGAGAAAATATTTTTGGTAACATTTGAGCCAAAAAGAATATCTGTGGTTTGTTCCTAAGGCTTATAAGCATTTCCCATTATATTCATTCGATCTTATCTACTGGAATTTTAGCTAGTAACTTTCTTGTTTTTTTGTTTGTAATTAAGCACAAAGCTACACAATGGACTATCCGTGCTCTACCCACCACGTGTATCGAAACCCGGATTCTAGCATTGGAAGTCCGCAGACATACCGCTGTAACTTTCTTGTTTGTTTGTTTGTAATTAAGCACAAAGCTACACAATGGGCTATCCGTGCTCTGCTCACCACGTGTATCGAAACCCGGATTCTAGCGTTGGAAGTCCTCAGACATACCACTGTAACTTTCTTTAAGCCTTAAACTCCCACTTTATTTATTGTACATTGATATAAAGGGTTTGTACTCTGTTCTATCCAATCATATGTAAATGTTACATATTTTGAAAGCTGAGCTTCATTAGTTATTTACATCACATAAGGGTGGGAATAAAGGATGCAGTAATAAAACCAGTGAAAGAAATGGAAAATCATGAGAAACAAGACATGGATAATTATATTTTCAAAGGATTATAGTTTAAAATAGGTAGAAAAATTATAAACAAATTAGTTAGTTGATTCATCACCAACAAAACTCCTCGGAGCTGAACAGAGACGATAGTTCATTTTTTTAATTTTCCTTTGAAAATTGCACTATATAAATGTTACAAAATGATAAAATATGTTTGACTTCAAAATTGAGTTAGAATTGTTATTTTTACTTACATTTTGATGTAGGTGTGTATTCTAAACCTGAAAGATGCTCCTGATCGGGACAGAGGTAGAAGCCATACCATAATGGTTTACAAAATAATTTTTATGGTTATTGTTAACAAACTTTTAACAGTTAAAGCTAGAAAATAACTGTAATTTAACTTTAATAATAAAATTTGACCTAATTTATGAAAATTTTATTTTCAGTCTGATGAAATTCAAATTATGTCTGATCCAAACGGTAATCTTGTCAGACATGTGACCTACCAAGAACAAAAATTTCTTTTTGCAGTTCTTTGACTAAGATCTCAAATGTAACAAAGATCGTGTAAGATTCTTCTTTATTTAAAATGTACACACTTTTCGTTCATCACTTTTTTTTTCTAGTTCATTAGGTGTAACTATTAATATCATAATAATATTAAAAGTAAAGTTTATTCCATACAAAAATAGGAAATTGTTTTGTCTAAGTTTGATCAACTTACTCAAGACATTTAATTTGAAATTCTCCTCTGTGGTCCCTGCTTCATTGGTAGCAATGCAGGTGTACTCTGCTGTATCAGTTTCTATTGGTGAATTAAGCAGTAACACATGACCTTTCTCTAGAAACTGGATGTGCTGGGATGGCTGAACAAGATGTCCATTTTTCAGCCATGTCACTTCAGGAGGAGGGTGTCCAGTTACCGTGCACGTGATTCTAACAGGTTGTCCAATTATAGTCTCCATTTCCTCATTAGTGCTGCTCTTTTCTATTCCTGGAGGAACTGAAACAACAATAGGGTTTATAAAAACAAGGGGGATTTTTAGTCACTACTTTACTAAAGACATTGTCTTGAACGAGGTTTATCAAGGAAGAAATTACTACAAACATATAATCCCCCTTGTTTTTATAAACCTTAGTCACTACTTTACCACAGACATTGTCATGAACAAAGTTTATCAAGGAAGAAATTGCAATAAACATATAATCCCCCTTGTTTTTATAAACCTTAGTCACTACTTTACTAAAGACATTGTCTTGAACGAGGTTTATTAAGGAAGAAATTGCAATAAACATATAATCCCCCTTGTTTTTATAAACCTTAGTCACTACTTTACTAAAGACATGGTCATGAACAAGGTTTATCAAGGAAGAAATTGCCACAAGCATATAATCCCCCTTGTTTTTATAAACCTTAGTCACTACTTTACTAAAGACATGGTCATGAACAAGGTTTATCAAGGAAGAAATTGCCACAAGCATATAATCCCCCTTGTTTTTATAAACCTTAGTCACTACTTTACTAAAGACATGGTCATGAACAAGGTTTATCAAGGAAGAAATTGCCA